TTATTCAATATTCCCAATAACAATTTATTTGGAACAAAGTAAATGACTTACAAAAACACAAGTGTACAAAGCTTGATAAAATTTTAAAGATATTTGTGAAATTATTGCGAAAATATATTTCAAATTTTGTTTTAAATTGGAAACAGATTTGAAGATTTTCTTTATCAAAGTATATAACAATTCATTGTCTTTTATGAACGTGTATAGAAACTATTGATCTTCAGTATTAGTTTATTTTATCTTTGAGACAGTTGTTTGTAAGAATATTAGAAATATTTAAAATTTATAAAATGTGTAAAATATTTTAAACGTTTTAGATATTCCAAACATTTTAATATTTTAAATACTCCAAACATTTTTAATATTTCAAATATTCCAAGTATTTAAAATATTTAAAATGTATAAAATGTTTAAAATATTCAGAATGTTGAATATTTAAATTTCCACTGAAACCACATTCCTGTGAAAAAAAATATCTTATAATTTAACAGAAGATGATTAGTTCAAATTCGATTTCAATTTCGTATATTCTATCATACTTTGTACGCAATACGAGCAGAGAAAATAATTCGAATTTTTAACTCCAATTTTCATTTTTCATCACCACAGTGTTTTCGTTCCATTTCATTTCTTTATCGTTCTTTATTTGCTAGGGTATTTTCCTTTCCCTTCTCGTTGCTTTCATTTTTTCATTTTAATACCAGTACACGCAAATGGATTTCATGTTCGTAAATGAATAAAGAAACGAGTAAATCAATATTGAATTTATGACTGATATTTGTTCCTTTTATTTACCATTTTTATGAAACATCCATTCATCATCGGAAAATAATTTCTTTCTCAACTTTTCCCGATGAATTTCTACGTCAACAACAATGTTGCGATACGAATAGGAATATATAGCACTATGTGTTCGTTGCCGGATGCTTGTAATGCACGTAAGCACACGTTTCGCAATACGAATGTAAGCGTATGTATGTGTAAATTGCACCTGACATACACGATGACACGTAATTAACGAAACACGTTTCGTTTTAATCCAACGTCATATCGAACGTGGACTCTGGTCACTTCGTGAAATTTTTCCCTATTTTGTAATTACTCTTCCTCGTCGTACAATTTTCATCAATCTGCTAGCCTCATGGCAATTTTTTAGTATATATTTAATTACCAAATTATTTGATAAATTATAAAAATACCGTGATACGTTCTATTTTTAAATGAAATTAGGTAAAATTTTAAAATTGAAATTAGGTAACATGAATTTTTTATTTTACTTCGTTATCAAATTATTTGGAAAATGCTAGGAAATCTGTATACATTTCTGGCCTAGTAAATTTAGGAAAAATTGTAATTTTTATTTTTTCTAATCGAGAGAAGAATATTATTAATTTTAGATATGCATACCTAAAAATAATTACACGTATACCCTAAATGAATCAAGCTTAGAGAATATATATGAACAAAAATTTATTATTTGCAAGATTTAGCAGACATAGGCATCATTTGCACTCCTTAGAACGAAACAACCATTGTCTGAAAAATTTGTCATCCACAATTTTCTAGATTATTATAAATAAATTTCCCAGGTAAATCACATACATAGCACATAGAATATTAATAAAAAAATTGTATACCGTTCCTAATAAATAATTAATACTAACACAAATACAAACATATAGACGTTTAAAAACACTGAAAAATTAAGTTACCACTTTCAAAAGAACTCCTTCTTCCTGACCAGGTTATAGACAAAGCAGCCCACAATTCAAGTGGCTCAATAACCAAACAGAGACCCTGACTCAGTAACCAATTAACACATTGTTGACCGGTGACAAGTTAACTCGTCTTTTCCTGCCCAAACGTTATAGACCAATAACGAGTTAACTCATCATTGCACTTGCATTATCTATTCCAATTTATTAAACCCAGGGTAATATAGAATATTGCGTGTGAAAGTGATTTTGAAGATTGAATTACAAAATAACAGCCGGTGACGTGACATAGTTTCTGTGTAAAATTGCCGGTCAAAAAATGTTATTAATCTTCGATAACCATACCCTGAACGAAGTTTCAGATCTCCAATCGAACTTCGAATCTCGAATCAAGATTTCCACCCCAAGAATACTTCGCGAAGCTAATCGGACCTCGACGCGTCAGCCTAGGTATGAGTCAGACCTGTGAACACGCGAAAACCGCGTCGTTCCCTTCGTTCGTTTGCACATTACGTCTGAATCTTGTCTGAACGAAGAAGAACGTTCTCTGGAAACTTGCACCCAGTCAATATTCGAAACCTGGCTATTCTACGAACGAGCTTCTTCACCTGGATCTAACGCATCGAGCGAAGTGATCTAGCCACAGCCTTCGCGTAGAAGATTGGGACCAATAGAGATCAACCTTCGACTGCGATGAAATCTTTGGAAGATTACAAACGAGAGATCTCCGAGTTCGAGCACCTCGGCAGCTGCCTCTTAGAATGATTAAACGCAATGTCGCTCGAAATTCACTCCTCCAAATGATAAACGAGAATTATAGAATTGGACGAGAGCTGTTAGGGTGTTTCAGCGGGTATCGCGAATTTTGGAGGTCTCTGTATGAAAGTGACGACAAATACAGATACGAGGAATCGAGAGATTTATCATGGTAATTATTGTGGAAAATTTGAAATATTTTGGAAATTCAATTTTGACAGCTAGGAAAGATGACTAGAGAGGCTTTCGTGTGTCTAGAGACAATTTTCTTCGTTTCTCTAATAAAAACGCTTCTCTTGCGATTTTTGTATCATTTAGAAAATTGTAATCGAGTCTCTAATTTATTTAGCTCTCGATAAATTTCTGAGAGTCTGAAATTTATTGTGTCTTTGGATAAAGGAGATTCGTTGAAGCTTTGATTGTCGCAAGTATTCGAATGGTTCGAAGTAGAAAATGGCATCACTGATATACAATGAGAGATATTATTATTTAGACTAGAGAGTTTATTTTCGAATTAATCAAATTATCAGAAAATTAATTTTCTCGCAGTAGCAGAATGACTGAAAATAATTGACTGTCGTTACTATAGTGGTGTGATGAAAATGCTGTAGTCGATGAAAGGGTGATTATTTCTTAGATATCTAGTTTTAGGATCTTTGTGTCGTTTACTAGCACTGCAATAGGAGTTATGGTTGGTTCGAGTGATATAACGGAGTCATTAAATCAGACAAATGCAAAGATGATAGGCACTAAGCTTATGATTGATTCGAGTGACGTAGTGAAGTCTTAAAGTCAGTTAAATGCAAAAGTAAATGTTCTAACTTTCAAAATGGTAATTCATGATATTTCAGTGACACAAGTGGCACGAACGTCAATTAATGTCGTACGATGTCCATTTGCAATGAGTTCTTCTGTTTTTGGATATTCCTAACGGAGTTCATGAAATATTCGAGTTCTATAATAATCGAAATATTAAAACTATCGATCTGCAACTTATACTTAGACATGGAATTCAAAGTTAATAATAATTAAAACGTTAGCATAAAAATAAATATAAATAAATGTAAATTTTAATACTACATAATACACATAAATACCAACGTTTTATATAATAAAATTTGATGTGATATAGTAATTTTACACAGTACAATTATAAAATTATTATAAAATCATAATTAAAATTATATATACATATTTCATTTAATAAGTACAAATATGAAATTCCCTATCTAAATAAAAATTAATTTTAATTTTGTCGAAAGCTTCTGTCAAATTATGAAACCAGTCATTTTAACTCGTTCAATAGTTCTAATGTTAAATATAATTTAAATTAGCTGCAAATAATAATTAATAAATTAACAATAAATTAAAATTTGATAAAATCAGCAATTCTATTTCCACTTCACTACTTATTATTATAATAAACATAAATATCAACGTTTTGTGTAATAAAATTTGATATGATATAGTAATTTCACACAGTACAATTATAAAATTATTATAAAATCATAATTAAAATTATATATACATATTTCATTTAATAAGTACAAATATTAAATTTCCTATCTCAATAAAAATTAATTTTAATTTTGTCAAAAGTATTTGTAAAATTATGAAACCAGTCATATTAACTCGTTCGATAGTTCTAATGTTAAATATAACTTAAATTAGTTGTAAATAATAATTAATTAAATGAAAAAATCTGCAATTCCATTTCCACTTCATTGCTTAGTATTAAATATCAATACTTGCAAACTGAAGAAATCTTTGCATGTATTTTATCGATGACATCAACGACGTCACATCGGCATTAATATTATTCGAACCAACCACCAAGAGAGTCACAAACCCTCTCTTTTCCTGTCATTAATTATCAACACTGATCCTTTGTCTTGCCCCCTTCCCTTGCAATATATCTCATCCCTTCTCATTACCATACAACTTTACACGTTCCAATTTCTATATGTAACAATTGCAACCAATAATAAAAATCCGTGTTCCCATCTTCATAATTGTACCAGAAAATATAATCCTACTGCACTATAACCAGTCAGACCCCATCCTTCTACCTACCCATCTTCTTCATGGACACATAATAGATATACCTCTGTCAGACGTATCTTCTCACCAATCTGTTAAAAATGCATTAACATAAAACAACGATATCCCGTGAAACATCCTGACAGTAACATCGCTCATCTCAAAAGATTAACAATTGTTGGTATATAGAACTAAAATCCTCGCGAGGATGAAGAGACCGCGTCTTTCTTAAGCTACAACAAAAGTCACTTCTATTCTTCGCGAACGACGATAAGTGTATAACCAAAAGGGAGAAATACGAAAGGATAATAATTATTGGTGAATTTCTTGAAACGAAGCCCCCAGTACTCGATGATACCTTATTCCCAACGTCCCCATGATCGTCCGTTCGGTGTTTCACGCGAGGTACCTAGGTCTACACTGACGTACTGTGTTGTAAAAATATGCGAGTCTTACGAGCTACGTGGCTCTCCCGTGGCGGAATCACGATTACTCTTTCTCCTCGGCTTCCTGGCTCTCGGCGCCCAGCAGGGTCGATTTGTCTTCCTCGTGGCCCTCGACTTCCGGTTCCTCGACGCTCTGACGCTGGCGTCTCGTGGCCTTTCGTTGCACGTACAGCAGCAGGGAGATGCTGACGCTTGCCAACGCCGCGAACACTGCCAGGACTATGTAAATCCTTATTGGCATCTGGTTTAAACCCTGTGGAACAACGTGATGCCATTTCTTCTTTAGTCTGTCTGCTTTCGATATTGGTTACGAGTGTGTGGTGTTTTCAATGATATTGGTAACTTGATTTCTACCACTGTTGCTATTTGTGCACGGATCGAAGTGTTTTGGACCACGATCTTTTATTTTCTTTTACTTTTATTCGATACTTTGTCGTTACGGATAATGATAGCGATGTAAATCAAGTTAGCAATATCAAATGTTATACTCGGTATATCGTAGGAACTTTTGGACTGGTTCTGGGAAAATGAACCAGTTTCTGAGTATATTTGTTAACGAGATATAATACGAAACATGTACTAACTATAAATAATATATAGGGTGTTATAGAAAAAGATCTAAAGGTCCTTGTAAATTAACAATACTTATTATACTAAGGAAAGTAGAAAATGTTGAAACATGTTGATTTCAAAGTCAATTCTTTCAAAGAAGAACATGAAAATTTGTTTTCACATTTGTCAAAAATATTTGATTGATCCAAAATCAGCAGATTTTGTTATGTGATCTAAAATTAATATAATTCTAAACTAATTTTTTCATTTATATTCGATATGTTGATAGGATTTCATATTTTATATAAATCTCTTGAGTATACAATTTGATGGAATTTATTATGTCCAAATTTTTCAAATGTAGAATTCGATGTTGATAATATTGGTTTCGCGCCCTATGTTCATTGAATATTTTGTGAATTTGTTTTGTATCACCCTGTATATCAACACCCATCCCATTTTCAACCTCCCTTTCACGTGATCCAATCAGTCTTCACAGACACCCCCAAAAATCATAGAGTGATCATGCACCCTCGTTTCACACCCTAACTCTAGCAATAAACATTCACACCAAATTCCTGTTCCCACGATATCACGAGTATTTCATGAAATAAATCGTGAAATAGTGTTGGCTGGTTAACATGGTACAGATTTTACAGGGACAGGATTTAACACGTCGCGTACAAGCCTCTTTCCGAGTATATTTATAATGGATCAATAATAAATAACTGAAAGTAACATTTCAATTTATTTCAGTGCAATTTTGGTATTTATTTGGTAGCACCTCGTGACATTAATATCCTTGGTAATTATTGTTTATGTTAATATATTTAATGACAAAATTTATATGCATTATATATCAAAGTTAAAAATATTATGGAATGAAGAGGTGACATCTTACACACCAATGAATGATGAATTCTTTTATACATATTCTGTACAAAAACTATTTTTAATTTTAATCTAATTAATTTAATCTCCATGGATGAAGAATACATAAAAATTTGTAAATTGTTACTTTCTGTTTTAGTTTATATTCAGGTTATCATTTCTAAATATTTCCCAAATATTATCTACATATTGTCTAAGTATTTTGTAAGTATTGCCAAAGTATTGTGTAAATATTGTCTAAATATTGATTAAATATTGTCTATATATTAATTAAATATTATTAATGCTGCTCAATGAAGGTATTAGGTTAAAATTTTGTTTGAAATACTGACAAGGTAATTTTTTGGAGTATATAAGCTGTGTATCTCCAGACCTAGGAAATCTAAGCTACAGATGCGTGTAACGTATAAAAGGGATCAAGCAGAGATATTTTCTGTAATCCAGAGCACACCAGGCGTTCCTGAAATAAAATGATAGAAAATATAGAGTACTTAAGGCGTTTCCTGCTTCACGAGTTTATTTTCGAAACTAAATCCTGAAGGAAGCAGTGGAAGACATGTACAAAGCTGAGGTAGAAGTATTTTCAGTACTACCACATATATATTTAATAAATAGAAGAATATACTTTAAAATACATTTTACAAAAATATATTCACCATATGTTGTTAATTTTTACAGAAAATAATTCTATAATATTTTACTTAATTCAAATTATTATCATGATATTATTCTTTTTATAAAATTTCTAACAAGCATTTTCTGAAACATTTGATATCATAATTAAAAACTTACTTAAATAATTAAAAAAATTAAAACATTTCATAAAATGTAAAAATTAAAGAAATGTAAATGAAAATATATATAATATTAATTATATTATATTCGTAGTAACATTTCCAATATTTTTATTAAATATTTCAAACTGTATTTCTTTTATGTATTATGTTTAGTAATGTACTAATCATACTAATTATTGCTTAATTAGATTGTAAGTAATGTTCTGAATTTTATTTCATAGTTTCTATATTAATTAAAAGTAGTTATATTTTTGTAATCAAAATATTTGCAAATAAATTAAAAAATTATTGATTAACTTGAAAGGAAATATGTCTGATTTGAAATATAAAATGACTATTTTACATATTTCGAAAGATATTACTTAAAATTCGAAGTGTACGCGAATATACAAATTTGTCAATGGAGATTACTCAATAAAGTTTAATAAACGCGAAGTCTCTGAAAAAATGGGTGCACATGTTACGAACGATCCTTATTTAAATACTTTCGTGACTTGGCGTGAATTTATCCGTCGTAATGACACAAAACTCAATATCGGAAATTTTGACCCAGTTAACTAACTCTGTATGATAATGGTTTTAAACCCCGTGTCTATTAAATGGACAACTTCCCAATAAACATTCTATGCTTGGGAAGTTGTCGTGAAACAAAATTTCGATTAATAACCTAATATTCCATGGCAATTTCATAAATTATATTAGGTCATCCTGAAACGAATATTATTTCTATATTAAATAAGCAAATATGTACGTATACAACTTTCCTGAAAAGTTTCCTTCGAACATGCATTCAACAAAAAAAGAAAAAATGATCAAATTATTTCTATGAAATTAGTTTTCAAACTCCATACATTTGAAATTAGTTTAACTTTATTAACAATTTATTTTAATTTTTAGTTTTGCTCATTTATTTCCTAATACCGTATAAAATTTCCACGAAACTTCTTTTTAAATCGTATTTTTAAAAAAGAAAATAAATTTCTTTATTTTTTTAATTACTACGAAATATAAAAAAATTATTGTCGCAATTAATTTGAAATTTAGCTAATAAAAAATTGCTAAAATAATTGTGCAATGAATATATTTTAAACATCAGAATTTTCATGCAACATTTATAGGATATCAATGTTGCATTGAACTATCGTTTTCGCTATTTTTATTCGATATTACTTCAAATATAATAATGCTTCATCGGTGTAAGACGTATGGGATCATTTGTAGGCAGCACACGAAATTTCCGTGCACGTCACCCAAAGGATTTGTCACGTGATACCTCGAAGTGACTCATTATACGGGGCGGCCATCTTACACGTACTGAAGCTAATATTATGCTAATGTTTCTAATCAATCAAGCGCAGCCAGTTTCTTACCCTGAAAGGGAGATTTGTGGAAAATGACGAATTCACGTGACTATCGTTAATAGACGATGATAGACAAAATATCTTATATAAGGGATGATTTTTATTGGACAAATAAATTATCCTTCTTGCACCTACTTCTTGTAGTACATTGTCATTATGAATATCTATTATAAAGTAATTAAGGAGATAAAGCTTCAATTGATAAAACAAATGAAAATGTTATCATTAAACGTCCAATTCGTGATGGTAATATTGCCGATCCGGATGCTCTACAGCGTATTCTTACTAAAATTTTTCAAGATTTCAGACTTGAAATTAAAGATTTAAAACAAATTAATAACAATTCTATATTGCCTATTTATTATAAAATAATTTTATTTATTTATTACAATATAATTTTATTTATTTACTGTCGTACAATTTATCATAACATAACCTCAATTATTTGTTGTAATATGATTTCAGCCATTGAATTAGTTTATCATAATTTCAGTTCAATTATTGGGTGTACTACTTGTAGTATTAATGTTATACAATATGAGGTCTCCATGTAAAGATAGAGATACTATTCGAATTATCATTATAGATTTTGATAAACAATGTAAATTAAAATATATATAATCATATAACAAATATATTGTTACGAAGCTTGATTGAGCTCAAAAGTATTCGAGGTTTTTACTAACATATAATAATTATAAATATATATTTAGAATGTTTAGTAAATTTTTATTACTATAATTACGTATCAAAGTTTTGAACAATATTTGGCTAATAAATTTTAGAAAATTATTTTATTTAAATTGTTTTCACAAAATAAAATAATGATTTCTCTATATAAACATTTTTTTTCAGATGAAATTAGTATTGGTTCTTAATGAAAAAATCGTATCGATGAATTTATTAATTTGCTCTCATTTATAGTACGATGTGAAATTGGTACATGTCAGGAAAGAATAGAAACAGTCTCCAAGCAGCCAGATCACATGAATATTGATCGAAACGAACATAACAGTTCATTATTGGCGTTCCATTGCGTAGATTATTTTAGTTTATTCAATTCATCATTCAGAAGAATTTCATTATTTTTTAAAGCTATCCACGTTAATATTGTTATTTTATACACTCATGATCAAATAATTAAATATTTAAATAAAAATGTTTTATCAAATTTTTATCAAATTAATATTTTGTATCACTACCTAACAACAATAAAATCTCCCTCATAAATGGACATTATAATGTTATACAATTTATAAATTTCAATCATGTTAATATTCATTTAAATCAATTTATAAAAATTTCATATACACGAAATATTATTAATTCAGTCACCAATAATTTTATTCAAAATTTTCTTTTTTTAAACACGAAAGAAAAACAGCATATGGATAATGTTTACTAAAACCATACAAAGTATCAAAGAACTATATATAACTGACATGTCCACCAAAGGGATCCTAGGAAAAATAAAATTCCCTAGGTCCCAATATCAACAAATGTGTTTAAAGAAATTAAATCCACAATAATTATTCAAGGAGACATTAAATTCACACATATTTCAAGATAAGCGTGCACGAAATTACCATTATTCATCCGTTTGAAGCTAAAATCTGTGTCACTAGTTAAGACATCACGTTTTTACATCGAAT